CAGCAGGGCCACGAAGGGCACGAAGTAGGCCACGAAGGGCGACAGCGGGGACACGAAAGGAATGCGTATGGGGCCACGAAGAGCGCGAACGAGCGGGGGCCACGAAGTGCAGATAATGCGGGGCCACAGAAAGCAACTATGGGGCCACTGAGGGTAGCAACTGGGCCACGTAGGACAGTGAGGGGGACACAAATGGCAACAGCGGGGCCACGAAGGGCACGCACATGTGGCCACAACGGGCGCGACTCCTGGGTGCCTGGGTGTCGGGAGCGCGGCACTTGGGCAAATTGCAAGAAATTCCAACGCAAGGCGTTGTTTCAGTAAGTTGCAAGCAAGTCTCCAGCGAGAGCGTGACTCCCGAGCGTCGGGAGAACAGAAATTGTAAGGAAGTCCCAAGCGAGAACGCGATTCCTGAATAAAATGCGAGGAGGTCTCGGGCGGGAGCGGGGGTCCTGGCTAAATTGCAAGGAAGTCTAAGGCGGGAATAGTTGTTGTTGTTGTTGTTGTAACCCGGGGGCCACGGGCCCAGTTTGAGCATCAAGACTTTCCCTGTCCAAAAACAGGGTGCGAGCGTCGAGGGGCACACTTTGATTGAAAAACAACATGCGTTGGTGGGGGGATCAACAATAATTATTCTTCAGAAGTGAGAATTCAACAACAACAACAACAACAACAACAACAACAACAACAACAATCATTTAAGACTGGGGACACTCCGTTCTCACCAGTGCCAGGGTTTTCATAGGAGGCGGGCAATACCCCCACTTTGTGGGGGGGCCGGTTCAAGCTCTACCAAATTTCCAAACGACTCTTCGCCACCACCCACACCCAGCTTCCCGCCCTATGACGTTCGGACACTTCACTTCGTGGCATGCGGACGACCGTGGCTACTATTCAGGGCCCCGCGGCCGACGACGACGGCGTGCGCGCGCGAAGAAAAAACGAATGTGTCCCGCATGGTATTATTTGACAGGGATGATGGCCCTGGCAGGTGCGCAACCGTTGTCGCAGAAGTTCGAAAAAGTTGCTCGCAAAAGCCCGTTTGACAGAAATGTTTAAAAAGTGTTGGGTTTCCTACGAATCCGCAAGAGCGCGCGGGATGAATTTTGACATTTTTTTTTTGAAAAACCATTGGTTTTTTGATGTTTTTATGTTAAAATCGCTACGAAAACTAAGGTTTTGGAAGGATTTCGTCTTGCGCGCGCGAATGTCCACTTTACCTTATTTTTTGCAAGGGATTCTTGAAATTTGATTATATTAGAACAAGAAATGTCATTTTATAGTGTTTTTTGCAAGGGAAAGCGGATTACAACAAAACAACCGGATCTGGATGACATCGTTTTACCTGAGGCTTCCTCACGAAAATGATGAAAATGTAGCTGCGGCCTAGGCGGCGCAGGGGGGGCGCGCACCAGGGGGCCCAACAATAATTATTCTTTAGAATAAATAATGTTCAACAACAACAACAACAACAACAACAACAACAATTACTAGCACGTGGGGACACTCCGTTCTCACCAGTGCCAGGGTTTTCATAGGAGGCGGGCAATACCCCCACTTTGTGGGGGGGCCGGTTCAAGCTCTACCAAATTTCCAAACGACTCTTCGCCACCACCCACACCCAGCTTCCCGCCCTATGACGTTCGGACACTTCACTTCGTGGCATGCGGACGACCGTGGCTACTATTCAGGGCCCCGCGGCCGACGACGACGGCGTGCGCGCGCGAAGAAAAAACGAATGTGTCCCGCATGGTATTATTTGACAGGGATGATGGCCCTGGCAGGTGCGCAACCGTTGTTGCAGAAGTTCGAAAAAGTTGCTCGCAAAAGCCCGTTTGACAGAAATGTTTAAAAAGTGTTGGGTTTCCTACGAATCCGCAAGAGCGCGCGGGATGAAATTTTGACAATTTTTTTTTGAAAAACCATTGGTTTTTTGATGTTTTTATGTTAAAATCGCTACGAAAACTAAGGTTTTGGAAGGATTTCGTCTTGCGCGCGCGAATGTCCACTTTACCTTATTTTTTGCAAGGGATTCTTGAAGTTTGGTTATGTTAGAACAAGAAATGTCCACTTTAGCTTATTTTTTGCAAGGGAAAACCGATCGTAACAACACAACCGGATCCGGACTCCCCCGTTTTGCCTGGGACTTCCTCACGAAAATGATGAAAATGAGGCTGCGGCCTAGGCGCGGCGGGGGGGTCGTGCACCAGGGGCCCCAACAATAATTATTCTTTAGAAGTAATAATGTTCAACAACAACAACAACAATTACTAGCACGTGGGGACACTCCGTTCTCACCAGTGCCAGGGTTTTCATAGGAGGCGGGCAATACCCCCACTTTGTGGGGGGGCCGGTTCAAGCTCTACCAAATTTCCAAACGACTCTTCGCCACCACCCACACCCAGCTTCCCGCCCTATGACGTTCGGACACTTCACTTCGTGGCATGCGGACGACCGTGGCTACTATTCAGGGCCCCGCGGCCGACGACGACGGCGTGCGCGCGCGAAGAAAAAACGAATGTGTCCCGCATGGTATTATTTGACAGGGATGATGGCCCTGGCAGGTGCGCAACCGTTGTTGCAGAAGTTCGAAAAAGTTGCTCGCAAAAGCCCGTTTGACAGAAATGTTTAAAAAGTGTTGGGTTTCCTACAAATCCGCGAGAGCGCGCGGGATGAAATTTTGACTTTTTTTTTTGAAAAACCATTGGTTTTTTTTAATTGTTTTATGTTAAAATCGCTACGAAAACTAAGGTTTTGGAAGGATTTCGTCTTGCGCGCGCGAATGTCCACTTTACCTTATTGTTTGCAAGGGATTCTTGAAGTTTGGCTATGTTAGAACAAGAAATGTCAACTTTAGTTTTTTTTTTTGCAAGGGAAAACCGATCGTAACTACACAACCGGATCCGGACTCCCCCGTTTTGCCTGAGACTTCCTCACGAAAATGATGAAAATGAGGCTGCGGTCTAGGCGCGGCGGGGGGGTCGTGCACCAGGGGCCCCAACAATAATTATTCTTTAGAAGTAATAATGTTCAACAACAACAACAACAACAACAACAACAACAACAACAACAGCAATCACAACACCCACAACAATCACAACAATCACAACAATCACAACAACAACAACAACAACAACAACAACAACAACAACAACAACGACAACAACAACAATAATTACTCTCTGCGTGGAGCTCCCGATATGCGCATATCATGTTTTATGAAATGCCATAGTGAACGTTTCTCTATGAATGCCTGACTATAAGAGCGCGTCCACGTGGTCGACAGGTCCGACGAAGACGGTTAAACACCGATGTGCGTGACTATAAGTGAACGTGAGGCTTGAATACGACTGAATATGCGCCCATCCTCTTCGCTCCTCCTCCTCCTCATAGGTCATAACGATGACGTGGGAAGTTTGGGTGACTTGGGAGACTCGGGGAACGTGGGAGACTTGGGAAACGTGGTAGACTTGGGGGTTCCCATGGTCCAGCGCCCTGTCTGTGTTGCACCGATCCTGGCCGGGCCGGGCCCGTCCGGACCGGTCATGTGCACGTGGCCAGGGAGGCGTGTGCACCGACCCTTGGGCTAGGATGGGCCGGGCGCATGCTGTTCCCATCGCACCTGAGGACTACAGATCTCGAGCACCCAGAGAAGTATCAAAACAGTGTCTGCCCAACACGCTGGCGAGGTGTCGACCGATCATCGCCTCCCAGGGCCCGACACGTGAAAACCCTCCAGTTTCGGTACACGCTTGGTGCTCGAAATTGTATATGGTGATCAAGGCTAAAGTAGGTTGAAACATCATCAGGCCTGGCCAGGATCGGTGCGTGTGCACAGTTCTCCTCGCCCGAGGGGGAGGGCCGCTAACACCGTGGCGGTGCGGCCCCCGATCCCCAGACGCAGCTGTGCTTTTCACGGCGGTGGTCTCCCCCCCATAATACGGAGCCAGGGCGAAGATAAATCGGGCGAGGATAAATCGAGAATCTCTGAGATCCGGCGGCTCTAGAGGATGTCTCGGGCGCCGCGGCCTTCGCAGAGAGTTCCAGAACGTTCTGAGAGCGTCCTGGAACGCTATGGAACGGATTTATCCTCGTCCTCGCCCCGTCCGACCCCACCCGCCCCAGAGCTCTGGACCCCATCCCCGACTCGGCGGCGAACGAAGGGGGAAGAGAGAAGGAGGAGGCCGTCTCGGAAGGCGGCGGGACTTCTCAGAAGCCCTCGCGCCTTCTGAGAAGTGTTCTGTGTCTTCTCGGGGAAGGCTTGGAAAACTTCCCAGAAGGCCGGGGGAGCTCCGAGCCTTCCGAGAAGCCGTATCCTTCTCACTTCCCCCCCAGGCTCGCCGCCGACTGGCGGCGCAGTGCCATCACCTAGCGCGGCTGGCCGCGGGGGTGCCACGCACGACTGTGATTCTTTGCCGCCCATGGCTCCCACTCCGCACTGGGGACCCGCACTGGTGCCCGCTCGTCTGCTTGCTCGTGAACGGTCATTGCCAGGCCGCCGTCCCGCCAGGCTTCCTCGCTGGGCGGCGCAGCCCTGTGCAAGGTGACGATGGCTCGAGCCTATCCCACGGGGCGGCTGGTCTCTCTACCAGCTCTGGGGCCCCGAAGTAGGCCCCCCCCAGACGCCGCCGAAACCACGAGAAGACGGCCATCGTGGCTTCTTCGCGACGCCCTGGAGGTCTGGACCCCGAGGGAGCGTCTTTTTCTGCCTTCGTTTTAGGGTGGGGATAGGGGGGGGGAACCGCCGTATTTTTGCTGGGCTCCGCCGCCGATCACGTGGAAAGGCTGAATCGACGGCTGAATCAACGGCTGAATCGCTGTACTGAATCGGCGGCTGAATTATGTGGAAAGGCTGGCCGCCTGCTTCCTGCCGCTCGAACGCTGCAGAGGAGATCCCAGACCAGTCTCCCCGCTCGAGCTTGCCCAAAATTCCAGATCTCTCCAAGAGGCCGCCCCCCACATGCCAGCAGGCAGGCCGCGCGGAGGGACGCGCCGCTGGCCTGGATGGTTTCCAGCAACACCTTCGTCCCGCCGCCCCGTCGCCCCATGGCCTGAGCGGGCGGCAGAACTCGGGTGAGGAGCGTGCCCCTACGCCAATCGGCGTCCTGGCCCGGAGCAGACTGGAAGAGTGGAGAGGTCGAGGCAAGGACTGCGGCGAGTCCACGCCCATTCCGCGCACGCTGCTCAGAGAATCGGGAGGCTGGCTGATTTGCAGCGCGCGGACTCCACCCATGGAGAAAAAACGAAGTGCCCGCTGTGCACTGCGCGAAGCCGAGAATCCCAGAAGAGAGCCCTTGGGACCACGAGGTGCCACGAGGCAGCAGGGTCTGGGCCGCGAGGGCCGCTTGCGTCACGAGCAGCCGAACCCATTCTAGAGCCTTGCCCCGCACACGATGGCAGCAGAAGGCAGCAGGACCACAACGAAGTGAACTTGCTCTTGAACCTCCCCCCCCACGCACACGATGGCCACGAAGGGCGACAGAACCATAAGCAGCTGGAGCGATGTGTGAATCTCAACCCACATACGATGGCCACAGAAAGCGACAGGACCACGAGCAGCTAGAGCCTCGCCCAACATGCAAAACGACCGGGAGGGGTCGCATGGCCACGAACAGCCGAATCGAGTCTTGAACAGCACCCCCCCACGCAAAGACTCTCGGGGGAGGCGGGGGGGGCGCACAGGCGACGAGCAACCACATCGACGCTTGAGCCCCACCACCCTGCGCACGAAGGCCACGAGGGGGACCAAGCGGGAACCATGAATAACGGAAGGTCACTGGCCACGGAACACTCGAAGAACGCCCCCCCTGACAGCGATGCGAGAGGCCCTAGAACTATCGCTGTGCAAGGAACGTGGATGCGGATACTCTTGTGGCATGATGGACGTGGGCCGGATGCACGTGCAGATGCTGATGTGGGTGGGCTTCACAAGCGAAAACCATGCAACCGAATTCCATCTGCATGCACATACGCGCCGAGCTACATGTATGCGGCGGCCGTAAGCCGATTTGAACATATAGCCCGACGCATCCACCGACCCCTGCGGCTGAATATATGTTACTGGACCTGCTTCCGCGTGAACATCAAAATGTCCATATTCGAAGTGATTTTCAATGCGGCTCAGCACACATCATATTCGATCGTTCGCCATCGCTCTCTCGTGAGCATTTGAAGCTTGTTCGCAACAGTGCTGAGATCATGTCCTCCAGTTCTTGCTAGGCGGCCACGGCAACAAACGGAAATGTCCCCGACGTGCACATCAACAACACGTGAAGCATGATTAGCCGATGGGCACCATGTCCAACACTCTGCTCAGTGGGGACTTCCCAAAATCGGGATAGACCTCCCAATGGCGGACTTTCGGACCAGCGATTGCTGATGATGGTGGGCCATTTTTCGGAAGCAGATAACTACTCTAGCATAGTCCGATTGTCGGCCAGAGGAACTGAATGACCACGTGGGGTGTGTCTTGCCTGTTTGAGGATGAAGTGCAGCCCCCCGCTCTTCATTTGGTAACATTATCGCCCCAATTGAGCTTGCATACGTCCGCCCCCGCCTGTGCGCGCTTGGCCTGAAACACGACACAAAAAAACGAAAACAAGGTTGCGGGTTGGGTCCTCCGTGGGCCCTCCCCCGCGGCCCCCCCCTCAACCTGCCCCTCCCCCGAAGTCCCATCCCCACCCCAACCGCGCGGCACGCGGCAGCGCAACTTTTGTTCTCATCAGCACCTCTCACCCGATGAACTCGCATGCGAACGAAATCACATGGCAGCTTGTCAGGACTGGCGCAAACGACCAATGATGGGAAACATGCCTGATTGTGTGAGACCGGCAAGAGACAGAGTGGGCAGCGCGGTTGTCATAAACGCCGAGGGGTGAGAGAGGGAGGGAGCAGAGGAGGGACGAAGCAGGCAGGCAAGAACACAGAAGCGAGCTGCAGCGACAACCGGCAGCCATGGATTACCCTACGACCACCACGCAGGCAGCACGAAATATGGGCCACTTAAACGCACCAGCACAGGACTGCACGCACCAGCGACCGCAGGAGGCAGAGGAGATCGGAGGCGAGGAGGTGAAGGAGAAGCGGGAAAGCGAACGAACAAACGCCAAGCGCACAAAACTAGACAAGCGGTTATGCGAACGTGGTCAAAATTCCCCTGACCCGCGCCCGGACGACCCAGGTATTCAGGCAGGAGCATGAACGGGAGAGAGAAACAGGGAAGACGCAGCCGGGAGGGGGCAAAACAGAGGACAACGAAAAGTAAAATGCGAACAGCGCTACAACCAGCGGGAGCTGGAGGCTCGCTGAATAAAAGCGGCCCGCCCAGCGGGAGCGCCCGGCACATGCACGCGTACATCAAACCCAAATTATCCTGCGACGTACCCAACCCATTTGCATCAAGTGACCCGATGGATCGGCGAGTATCGCCGTGAAGAACGCAGCCCCCCAGGAATGGCGAGCTCTAATCCTGATCTGCGGTGAGTACCCTCTCTGCTGGTCTCCCCAGCAGCCCTCGAATTGGCAACAGTTTCGCAGATCGCAGCCCCCCAGGGATGGCGCGCTATTTTTCTGATCTGCGGCGAGTACCCTCTCTGCTGGCCTCCCCGACAGCCCTCGAAAGTGACGACAGTTTTGCAGATCGCAGCCCCCCAGGGATGGCGCGCCATTATTCTGGTCTGCGGTGAGTACCCCCTCTGCTGGCCTCCCCAGCAGCCCTCGAAAGCGGCAACAGTTTCGCAGATCGCAGCCCCCCAGGGATGGCGCGCCATTACTCTGGTCTGCGGTGAGTACCCTCTCTGCTGGCCTCCCCAGCAGCCCTCGAAAGTGGCAACAGTTTCGCAGATCACAGCCCCCCAGGGATGGCGCGCCATTATTCTGGTCTGCGGTGAGTGCCCTCTCTGCTGGCCTCCCCAGCAGCCCTCGAAAGTGGCACAGTTTCGCAGATCGCAGGCCCCCCAGGAATGGCGAGCTCTAATCCTGATCTGCGGTGAGTACCCTCTCTGCTGGCCTCCCCAGCAGCCCTCGAAAGTGGCAACAGTTTCGCAGATCACAGCCCCCCAGGGATGGCGCGCCATTATTCTGGTCTGCGGTGAGTACCCTCTCTGCTGGCCTCCCCAGCAGCCCTCGAAAGTGACGCCAGTTTCGCAGATCGCAGCCCCCCAGGGATGGCGCGCCATTATTCTGGTCTGCGGTGAGTACCCTCTCTGCTGGCCTCCCCAGCAGCCCTCGAATTGGCAACAGTTTCGCAGATCGCAGCACCCCACGTATGGCCCGCTACTATTCTGGTCTGCCGTGAGTACCCTCTCTGCTGGCCTCCCCAGCAGCCCTCGAAAGTGACCACAGTTTCGCAGATCGCAGCCCCCCAGGGATGGCGCGCTATTACTCTGGTCTGCGGTGAGTACCATCTGCTGGCCTCCCCCGCAGCCCTCGAAAGTGACCACAGTTTCGCAGATCGCAGCCCCCCAGGAATGGCGCGCTATTATTCTGGTCTGCGGTGAGTGCCCTCTCTTCTGGCGTCCCCAGCAGCCCTCGAAAGCGGCAACAGTTTCGCAGATCGCAGCCCCCAGGAATGGCGAGCTCTAATCCTGATCTGCGGTGAGTACCCTCTCTGCTGGCCTCCCCAGCAGCCCTCGAAAGTGGCAACAGTTTCGCAGATCGCAGCCCCCCAGGGATGGCGCGCTATTATTCTGGTCTGCGGTGAGTACCCTCTCTGCTGGCCTCCCCAGCAGCCCTCGAAAGTGGCAACAGTTTCGCAGATCGCAGGGATGGCGCGCTATCATTCTGGTCTGCGGTGAGTACCCTCTCTGCTGGCCTCCCCAGCAGCCCTCGAAAGTGGCAACAGTTTCGCAGATCGCAGCCCCCCAGGGATGGCGCGCCATTACTCTGGTCAGCGGTGAGTACCCTCTCTGCTGGCCTCCCCAGCAGCCCTCGAAAGTGGCAACAGTTTCGCAGATCGCAGCCCCCCAGGGATGGCGCGCCATTACTCTGGTCAGCGGTGAGTACCCTCTCTGCTGGCCTCCCCAGCAGCCCTCGAAAGTGGCAACAGTTTCGCAGATCGCAGCCCCCCAGGGATGGCGCGCCATTACTCTGGTCAGCGGTGAGTACCCTCTCTGCTGGCCTCCCCAGCAGCCCTCGAAAGTGGCAACAGTTTCGCAGATCGCAGCCCCCCAGGGATGGCGCGCCATTACTCTGGTCTGCGGTGAGTACCCTCTCTGCTGGCCTCCCCAGCAGCCCTCGAAAGCGGCAACAGTTTCGCAGATCGCAGCCCCCCTGAGTCCGCGAGGGGGAGGGAGGAGAGAGGAGGGGGGCGGGAGCGGAAGGAGAAGCGCAGGCGGTGCTCTATTCAAAACGAGAACCCAACACAGGAGGAGGAAGGAGGAGGGGAGGAGGAGGAGGAGGAGGAGGAGGAGGAGGAGGAGGAGAAGGAAGGAGACGCGACCCCACTGCTCTCTTCAAAACAAGAACCCAACCGAGGAGGGTTGGGAAAAAAACGTACCGAACAAAGGCCCCGGGGGGGGGCAGGCGGGGCAGGAGGAGGAGGGAGGGAGGGAGGTAAGCACACGCAGCCGCCCTCAAACCTTGCCGCTGCCGAGCGCGGAACCGCCGCCGGAGCCCGCGTGCCAGGCGGCGCTGCCTCTCGGCCAGCTCGTCGTGGACCCCATGCCGCCTCACCCGTAAGGGACTGGACGGGATGCATAGCGAGCAGCGTCAAACCTGTTCAGAAACCAGGACTCCTCCACGTTGTTGCGCTGCCGGGGGCAAGCTCCGCCCCAAATCATGCCATCGGCACCGACTCCAGAACACTTGCCGATAATTCCAGCCTCGCTCGAAGGACACTCTATCGTCGGAGTCGGCGTGCCAGTCGGGGTTGGGTTGGCTTTTTGGGTCGGCGGCGGTGGGCCAACTGAGCATAAGTCGAAAAACAAACAGTCACCACATGTGGCGCTGTGCCAGGTCAGTCATGTAGTCGTTCCTGCTGCCGGCCAGGTAAATATCACCACATCGGTGTCGGAGCTGGAATTAGGCGACAGTGAACCAGGAGCGAAGGCCGGAGCCGACGTGGTGCTCAACACTGATGCGGTGGAAAGTCTGTCCGTGGCAAGACTCGGGCTTGGCCGTCATGCGCGACACACGATGCTGCGCCAAGTCGGCGAGGTCGACGTCGCCGCGGCCGGCTGGGTAAATATCACCCCGCAGGCGTCGGAGCTGGAGTTGGCGTCGAGCATGGACTAGGGGCTGGGGTCGGAGCAGCTGCAAATGCTTTTCAACAGCGCCAGCTACCGACGCAATTTTCAACCATGGTGTCGTGGAAGGGGGGAGCCGCGCCACGTGTGCCACTCTGAGCGGCGCCCGCTGAGCGGCGCTCTGCTGGTCTCCGTCATGTTCCGCTCGTGCGGACGCCAGAAACGAGGAGGATGCGCTGGGCGCCTGTCGTGGCAATCTAAAAGGTCACCCACATAGGCGTTGGATTTGGAGCGCAGGCCAGAATCGGAACTGAGGTGGGATAGGAGCCAGGGACTGAGCAGAAGTCGGATATGGAATTTGGGACGGCGCACTCGTCGGATTAAGGGCCGGAGCTGGTGTCTAGTCTGGCTCTGGAGTCGGAGCCGGGGTCAGAAATTTGTAGAGGGCCGGATCTGGTGTCACTTTGTCGTGCGCCCGACCGCCGTCCTTCGGCCACGTTCGCGGGGCAAGCTTGTCCAAGGAACGAGTTTCAAAAGATCTGGTGCTGTGGCGGGGGCGTCGGCGATGATAACAGCCGCGTCGGTGTAGCGTGCGTAAGATCCTCCGTAAACGAACCAGCAGAAACCGCGACGCCCACGCAAGCGGACACAATGGCATTGTTGCGCTGGAGTCCCGGCAGGAGCCGGAGTCGGAACAGTGCTATGAGTTGGAGTCGCACCCCTGGGGCGGTTGGCCGTCGTGGTCGTGCGGCACAACGTCTTCGTGCCACTGGTACCCGAGCCGCTTTTCAAACTCGTGCTCACGGAACTGCTGGCGGTTGTCAGCCGCAAGCTTGACAGGACACTCTTCGGGAGCATCAGGTCGCCAGCCGCGAGCTTGAGGGGACACCTTTTGGGAGCATTAGGTCGGCTGCCGTAGCCAGAGCCGTCGTGTCCCTTGGGCGGCTGGCCGTCGTGGTCGTGTCGCTCGGCGCCGTCATGCCGCTGGAACTGAGATCTCCATGTCTGGTCGCTGGGTCGCAGGGGTCTGATGCGTCATGCTGGCGCAGGGGGTGTGCCGAGGTCCGCGGGCGTGGAGCGCCAAGGGGGCGCGTTGGCTGATATCATTGTCTCCGTCAGGTCGCGTAGTAGTGCCGAGCTCGTTCGAGGGCCCGCTGGAGACACAATCGGCGTGGTGCGCCAGGGGGGGCGGGGTGGACTCGGAGGTACGTCCCGCACTAGGTTGGGCGTGCAAGAATTGCTGCAAAAGTCGGATCTCGATGTCAGCTATCTGTGGAGGTAGGGGGGTGGGTGGGTGGAGCGCCGGAGGGGTGCGCCCTCGCAACTTGCTGTCGTAGGTGTCCTGCAGCAGACAGTCCTGGTCGCATGATGGAGCATGCGGTGTGCCGCACTCGGGAGCTCCTCGTCTGGGCCACGTGCCACGATGCCCGACGAAGTCCGCATTGAAGGGGCGTTTTCCTCGGTCACTGGATGGGTCGACGGCCCCGGTGGCACTGAAGTCCGCGCTGCGCTGTAGGTCGTTGTAGGGGTAGGGGGGAGGAAACGTCTGTAGGAGTCAGGGGGGGCCCGCACGACCTCCTGGTTAGACGTGCGTGGTAGCACTCGGCTCCGTAATGCTGGATAGCCCCTTGGAGCTGGAGTGGAGCAGAGGCACTGAAAATGGTGCTAGTGGACATCGTGGGTCCCGTTGTGCTGTTCCTCGAGAGGATGCTCGTGACCGTCGTGCTCCGCACACGTGGATGCAGGGGGACCGTCGTGCCAAGCATAAGCCGACGCAAGAGACATTATGCTCAAGATCGTGGCAAAGAAGAAAGCCGGATGTCGGAAATAGAGTCGGGCCCAGCGCTGCCGCCAGTGTTGCGCTCGGCGTCGGCGGAGCTGACGACGGTAGGGTCTCGCAGGGTGGAGCTGGAGTCTGAGCCGGAGTCGGACTTGGAGTAGGAGCTGGGATTGGAGTCTTGCAGTTGATAGCTGGGGCCGTGATGCTGTCCTGCTGCTCGCTGTGGCGCTGCTGGAGTCCGTGCTGCTCGTGGGAGGTCCTGCTGGAGCTCGTGCTGCTCACGACTGTGCTGCTGGAGTCCGCCCTGCTGTCCACGATGGTGCTACTGGAGTCCGTCGTGCTGCACCCGATGTTGCTGAGGTCTGTCGTGTCGCTCGCCATGGCACTTCTAGGCTCCGTCGTGCTGCTCATCGAGGTGATACCGCTGTCCGTCGTGCCGCCAACAATGGTTCTGCTGGAGCCCGTCGTGCTGGCTCCAGTGGTGCTGCTAGCGTACGCCCCGCCGCTCCTGGAGGGCTGCTGGAGTCCGTGCTGCTCACGGTGGTGCTGCTGGGGTCCGTGGTGCTGCTCACGGAGGTACTGCTGGACTCCGTTGAGCTGCTCAGAGGTAATGCCGAGACCCGTCGTTGGTGCTGCTGGTGGCCCTTGTGCTGCCCCTGGAGGTGCTGCAAATGTCCGTCCTGCTGCTCGAGGCGGTGCTGCTGGAGTCCGTGCTGCTCACGGTGGTACTGCTGGAATCTGTCGTACTGCTCACGACGGTACTGCTGGAGGCCGGAGTGTGGCTCGCGATGGTGCTGCTGGGCTCCGTCGTGCTGCTCAAAATGGTGTTGCCCGAGGCCCGCGCGCTGCTCCGCTGGTGCTGCCAGAGCCTGTCCCGCTGCGCACGGTGGTGCTGCGGAGGGTCGTGCCGTTCACAGTGGATCCGCGTCCTACCAATGACAGTCGACCTCTGCAGTAAGCAGAGACAGATGACAACGTAAATTACGATTGACGCGCAGCCTCCTTGCAAGATGGATACTCGAGCCAATCCGCTTCGCCACTCCGTTTGCAAAGCACTGCCCTACTATTGCCGATCGCACCTACTCTCCGACCAGCAGCGTATGAATACACTGGATTTGGGCTGTAACTCACGTACTCTTCAGTTGTCCACACGGTTGTTGTAAAGATCTCCATCCTTGTGGTGCACAAGCCACTGGTCTACACTGGGTGTCCCGAAAATGTGCGGCCAACCAATCGATGAACCAACTCAGTGGATCCTCTAGTTCTGGAAATCCGAAAACCTGTAGGGTTCTGCCAACTGAAACTGATGATGCCGAGTTTGTTCTATACGCGGCCGTGGGAGCTCACGCTTGGAACGTCGCCGCGAGCGCCTGAAAACGGTATTATGCCAGACCGTGCAGCAAAACAAAACGGTAACCCCCTCTGGTACACCCGTGTCAGAACAATTTGGGCTCCACACGGAAACTGCATGCAATCCGTTCTGCACCCAGAGCGGCTTCAACCACTTTCTGCACCACGTTTGGCCCTAAGCCAACATTGAACGGGCCTGGCTTGAGCCAAACCTGTTGGCATCATCCCCAACCAGTATCAATATGTCGTTCACTGGTACTTAGAAGGTCTAGCGACCCAAGTGATGTTCCATGATACCTCTACTAACTTAATGGTCGGACAGCATTCGGTGAAACAAACCAATATTAGAAACCGAACACCGACATCCGAGGTACTCGCTCATGTTGCGAGCAATACATCGCACGGTAATCAATGTTCCGATATGCATATGCGCATGCCTCGACGCCTACACATACATAACGAGGTGCACATGTGCATATGCTTGCGAGCGCACGCCATATCTACGCGACAATTAACGACCATGTCGATCCCGAAGGGCACACATTCATATGAATACTGGCATGTCTCCCTATGCGAACACATATATTGCATAGATTTACACGTTTCTGGTTTAGCTCGAACTGAAAGCACATGTTACATACTTCCCTGGATGAACTAAACAATACGACTGTCCAGAAGCGGATTAACAGTGCAAACTCTCAGCGTCAAAATCGAATGATGCATCATGCAGTCTAGAACCGTTGCCCTCTCACATGTTACAGTTCACGTTCGATTAATTAATGTTAACAGTAATCTGATCCTGAGCAAATCCCAAAAGCTAGTGAGCCTTGGCTGCAAAGCTTGAGGCCCAACACATATTACGCGCTAGAGCCGTACATTCCCACATTTGCAGAAGCAATATGGACGGTTTGGCAACCCCACCGCACGACAGCCAAACATTCAAGATGTTGACCCGAGGTTTGACGTCGCGGCCCGTCCAGCATCGCAGCGTTCGGACTCGCTCGCTCGGAAACCGGTGGCTTACTACATGTATACTTAGCAGAAAATCTGACCCGCTCTTGAACCAAGAGAGAAGTCTCATCCACTGATGTGAGCGAGCGAGCGCGCAAATCTAGCGAACTGAAACCTCTAAGGGCCGGCGCAGGAGGGACGCAGCCCAAACAGAGCAGTTTCGGTGTCAGCGCTTCTTCAGCCAGCATTCAGTCAGCCATGGGTTCAGGAGGATCCCGAACCGAGCGATGGCGGCCAATAATTGCGCAAACAGCTTGTGTGAAGAGCCATTGTGCCCAGGCAGCCTCCAATGCCCCCATCCACTCAACCATTCCTTCTCAAGGTCCCTGTCCCAAACTACACTGTCGATACATACTGGCTCACCAACGGCTGTGGGAGAAAGATAATCAAACTTGCCGATGGAAGTTCAGATCATCTATCTGTTAGAGACTGCAACCGACGGATCCTTCTCATATACTTTCCGATATAGGCCCAGCCCCACTTTCCAGTAGACCCGGCCTCACCATGCGAATATTCCCTGGCGAGATCTATGTTGGACTCGCCTGGGATTGCGATACTGGAGAGAGCGTGATCCACCGCCGCTTTACTGTGGAAAATTCCCCCCGCTTCCTCCGGAACACGGGGGTCCCCCTCCCCCCCCTTCGAAAATCCCCCGCCTCCTGCTGGACCCCCCCCCTTCCCCTCCCCCCTTCCCCCAGCAAACCCCCCCTACCCTAACCCCTCCCACCCCCACCCCCCTCTCCGGAAAACCGGGGGGGGCCACTGCCGGTTCGAACCCCCCCCTCTCCCCTCCAGAAAACCGGAATTGATCACTACCGGTTCGAACCCCCCCCCCTCGCTGCCTGCAAGCGATTCCCGCTCCTCGGAACAGTGGACAGCGGAAAACCGGGGGGGATCACTACTGGTTCGAAACCCCCCCTCCCTCCGGAAAATCGTGGGGGTCACTACCGGTTCGAACCCCCCCCTCCCCCCCCCCTCCGGAAAACCGGGAGGGGGTCACTACCGGTTCTAACCACCCCTCCCCCCCCTCCAGAAAGCCGGGGGGTGGCACTGCAGGTTCGAGCCCCCCCATCCCTCCCCCCTCCCCCCCTCACCGCCAGCAAACAACTCCCGAATCCCCACCACCGTCCGCACCACATCCCCCACCGCTGTCACCACTGTCGCACTGCCCCCACCGTCCCCACCACCATTCCCACCAGGGTCCCACTCTCCCCACTTTCCCCACGGTCCCCACCACTGTCCCACTGTCCCCACTGTCCCCACTGTCCCACTGTCCCACTGTCCCCGCCGCTCTCACACTGAGCTGTCCCACTGTTCCCAGCACTGTCCCCACCACTTTCCCCACTGTACCCCTGTCCCACTGTCCCGCCACCGTCCTCACCACCGCCCTCACCACTGTCCCCACCACCACCGTCCCCACCACTGTCCCACTGTCCACACTATCCCCACCACTGTCCCGTCCCACTGTCCCCACACCACTGTCCCCACCACCACCGTCCCCACCACTGTCCCACTGTCCCCACCAGTGTCCCAGTGTCCCCACTGTTCCCACCATTGTCCCCACTGTCCCCACCAGTACCCCCACCACTGTCGCACTGTACCCACTGTCCCCACCATTGTCCCACCACGGCCCCACTCTCCCCATTCTCCCCACTGTCCCCACCACTGTCCCACTGTCCCCACTGTTCCCACCACTATCCCACTGTCCCCACTGTCCCCGCCGCTGTCCCACTGTGCTGTCCCACTGTCCCCACTGTCCCCACCAGTCCCACTGACCCCACTGTCCCCACCACTGTCCCCACCACTGTCCCACTGTCCCCACTGTCCCCACCACCGTCCTGCTGTCCCCTCACCACTGTCCCCATCACCACTTTTCCCACCACTGTCCCACTGTCCCCGCCACTGTCCCAGTCCCCACAGCACTGTCCCCACCACCACCGTCCCCACCACTGTCCCAGTGTCCTCACCGCTGTCCCACTGTCCCGAGGAGCGAGAATCGTTTGCCAGCGGCGAGGGGAGGTGGGGGTTCAAACTGGTAGTGACCCCCCCCCCAGTTTTCGAAGGGGGGGTGACGGGTTCGGAACCCCCAGTGACCCCCTAGTTTCCGCCAGCAGCGATAGAACATGCTCTTTCCGATACTTCGATTCTGATTCGCGGTGGTAGTCCATCAGACATACACATAAAGACATCTAAAGGCATGTCACATGACTGTTCGAAGGTTCCACGATGACCCCCAGATAGTTGGTACGGCTACTTCCAGATTGCTGAGATACCCCCTGAAGGATTAAACAACAAGTATCGTTGGAATATTGCCTCACTCAAAACTGTGTTGGACAAAATACGTTGGCAACGACAGAATGTTATGCGCTTGCCACGATGTGGCACTCCGGACAACTATTTGAGAGCGCTTCTAGAAGTCGGAACAATTCTGGATACTAGCGATACCTTTTTCAAACTTCAAAATGCGTCTGCTAACAGGCTGCCCACCGGATTCGGTTCCTTGTACGTGTGTGGTTGCTGGAGTGTGCCCCCATGCATACATCAATGATCGCCGATTGCCTGATTCGCATGCACGATCGCGTGTTTGCTTCCTTGCGTGCATGCGTGAAGGCATGACACCTTGTATGCTTGCACTATTGATTGTTCGATTGATATAGCTGTTGTGCGCTTGGCTGCAGGTTTGCTGGCGTCGGTGAAAAGCTGATTGCCTATTTGATGGCTCTTGTCCGCCTACATCCTGAATGCATACGTGTTTTCCGTCATGCCTGCTTCACTGCTAGTCTGCATGGCTACTTTCTTGTATGAATGGCTGCTTGCTTGCATGCATGTGTTGAGTTGCATGAGTATGGCGTGCATGACTGCATGCTCGCGTGTTCGTATGATTGTATAGGTGTGTAGCTGTTTGCTTGCATGCAAGCATGCACCTATGGTTGAGTGAATGACATGTTGCTTGCGTACGAGATAATGTACGCGTGCTTTCTTCCTTGACCGCATGCATGATTGCATCTGGCTTGGGACGACTCACTGCGTACACGCGTATGTGTTTGCTTGAGTGCTTGATTGCTCGCCTGATTACTTACATGCGTGCGCGAGCGCCTCCCTGCACACGTGCATGCTTTCATGCGCGGCTGCATAGTTGCTTTACTTCTTGCCTACCTGCCTACTGCTTGCCACCATACGTACATGCTTACATTCTCGGATGTGTGTTTATGTGATGAAGAACCTTGGATTCACCTCTTGTGGGTCACTGGCCCGCCTGCTGGACTCCTTTCGGCTAACGCCTCGGAGTCGTTGCTGAACCGTCGCCGCCGCCGACGAAGCAGCCATCGACGCCGCCTCCGCCGCGCCGCCGCCGTCGCTGGCCGGCTGAGACCCAGACCCTGGCCAGCCGCCCCGCGCCAGCCAGGCTCGGACCGGCCGCCCCCACGCCGCCCCCTGGGGGGGGATGGCGGCGGGCTGGGGCGGCGGCGGCACGCGCGCGCGGAGTGCCTCGCGGCACAGCCCATGGGTTCCAGACCCACCCCCCCAGACATGCCCGCGTAACAAAACAACGCGACGGGAGGGTGTTGGCCGTTTCGGCCTCCGGGGGCCCTCGCC